TTTTATACAAATAGTAGTTAATCATAATAATAAGTAAGGAGAGCTGGCGTGTGAGCCATCATGGTCTGGGAGCACACCTTGGATGAGTTCGGGGATTACTGGTTCCAGGTCCAGGGTGATAAACATATCCTGGCTGTTGGGGAAACCGGTTTCTCAGCTTCCTTGCTGTGAGCTATCTTCATTGTCTTCATCATCATCATCTTCCGCGTACCCCGAACCCGCTTCCCTGTTGCGTGATTCTCCATTGATGGAGTCAAAGCACACAGTTGGGGTAGTGGTGGCTGCACCCAGAATGGCACGCAGCTCCGCGTAGAAGCGGCATGTTTGCGGCTCTGCCCCAGACCTTCCGTTTGCCTCTCTGGCTTTGTGGTAGGCTTGCCTTCGCTCCTTAATTTTCACGCAGCACTTCTGTGCGTCCCTGTTATGGCCTCTGTCCTTTATGGCCTTTGAGACTTTTTCTAATATTTTGCCATTCCATTTACTGCTATGGAGTTCAGGTAGCACTGATTCGTCTCCCCATATGGCGAGCAGATCCCGTACCTCCCGTTCTGTCAATGCTGGAGCTCTTTTGCGATCCTGGGACTCCATCATGGTTACCTGTGCTGATGAGCTCTGCGTGGTCACCTGTGCTCTCCATGCTGGGCAAACAGGAAATGAAATTCAAAAGTTTGCGGGGCTTTTCCTGTCTACCTGGTCAGTGCATCTGAGTTGAGAGCGCTGTCCAGAGCGGTCACAATGAAGCACGGCGGGATAGCTCCCGGAGGCCAATAACATCGAATTCCGTCCACACTACCCCAAATCCGACCCGCAATTAGCGCAAAGGCCGCTTTTAGTGCTAATCCCCTCATCAGAGGTAGAGTAAAGAAACTGGTTTAAAGGGCCCTTTAAGTAAAAAAAAGGGCTTCGTCGTGTGGACGAGTCCAGGCTTAATTCGATTTAACGCTGCTAAAGTCGACCTAAACTCATAGTGTAGACCAGGCCAAATAGTGGGGTAAATCAGGAATAGCTTCTCTGAAGTCAATGGAATTACACCAGTGTATAACTGGTGTGAGAGGAGAGTCTGGTCTGTGGGGCTTAGATGTGCATTAGAGGTGTTTCTAAAGAGGGTGTGAGTATAAAGTGATGCCATAAATTACATTTAGTGACAATTTTCTCAGTGTTATCATGACCACTATAGTTTAAGGGCCATTTTGTATGCTTGATGTGCATATACAGCTCCCATTAATATCAGTTGGTATTGCATCAACAGATCAAAAAATGATATAGTCCTCTGTGATGAGGTTTTGCATGCCATATTATCCAGGAACCACACTTCTGAAAAGCGTGTGGGGCAAGTAGCCATTTCAGAGAGCTTGTAATGGATGATTGACTGACTGATTGTTGGTGCAAGATCTGAATGTTTGAGTTTAAAGTTAATTTAACTCCTTGACAAAACTGTCAAGTCTTACAGATGGACTGAAATTTCAGGACAGAGGTCCTAATTGTGGTGGTAGCAAAGCTTTCAAGCTAAAGACATTGGACGGTTGCTTATTTATAAGTCTTCTGGCTGCTAATTATTAAGATACCTATAAAGTGGTGATGTTCCCTTCCAGTTCAAAACAAAAGTTACACATACAATGAAGAGTCAAAAGTCAACTCTTTTGGGGTCTGGATTTATTTAAAAAAAAATAGAAATCAAAATTACATGCCAGCACACCAACGATTGAACCAGAGATGTCTAGAGCGGAACACAAACATCTCTAAAGCTTGAGTTAAGGCACCTGGTGGCCCAGATTTGTAAAGATGTTTAGGTATTTCAACATCTAAGTGATTTAGGAGCCTAAATCTCATTTTCAAAAGGCATTTAGGAGCCAAAATTCCATTGACTGTTGAAAATACAGACATCTGTTGCAATACCTCTTTAGACTTAGGCGTGTGGGTTTACCTTCCTGCTTGCCTAAGGGCTGGTCTACACTGGGAACTTACCTGGGCATCACTACATCTCTCAGGAGTATGAAAATTTCCACACCCCTGAGACACGGAGCTGTTTGGACCTAAACTCCAGCCTAGACAGTGCTAGGTCAATGGAAGAATTCTTTTGTTGACCTAGTTACTGCCTCTTGGGAAAGGTGGATTACCTAATCCGATGGGAGAACCTCTCCCATTGGCATAGGTAGCGTCTATACTGAAGCACTACAGCGGTGCAGCTGCAGGGATGCTGTTGTGTTGCTGTAGCATTTCAAGTGTAGACGAGCCCTAATTCTGTTGTAGGAGCAGCTGGGTGGTGCGGACAGGAAGTCTTTTGACACTGGCTCATCTCTAGATGCCAAGAATTGCTATATTAACAGTTTTTATTTCCAAAGAGAATACTTTAAAAACAATTAATTCCAAGAACATTACAAGAATCTGAATAATTTGTAACCTTTTCCGGGATTTAGTCATTCGGTGTGAATGTGTCAGAACGCCAAGCCCTCCCAGTCCACACAGACACACACCCTGTCCCCCCAGGAGATAGAGAAACAGTTTTGTGCCGGAAGCTGGTGAAGTCAGCATTTTAAAATGGTTTGCAGCATTGCTGATTCTCTCCCCCTTTGTAATAGTCACCAGCTAATAATTATGTTGTAGGTTTGCTGTGTGGGAAGCAGTACACTGGCAAAATGTTGCACCTCTGAAAATGTAAGAATGAAGGCTAAAAGGGAAAAGCAGGACTTTTAATAGAAGCGTTAGTCATAGATAAAATGCAGTGCCGTGTCATTGTGCTACTAGCTTCTAGTGTCTCTAAAAATACCCTCTAGTCTAGTGGCTTTGCTGGTACAACAGCGCAGTAACAGAGAGAGGAGATCTGGAGCAGCAGCAGAAGTCTTGTCTTAGCCCTTCTTTCCCTTGAGCGAAGATGCTGGTGAGCATCATAGAGGTCATGCTCACAGGCTGTGGGGAATGTGAATAGTTCTCAGACATCTGCTAATGCCTAGTTCTAGAGGAGCCTCTTTGCTCCTCTGTAGCTGTATGCTCTGTGCTGTGACAGAGCAGAGAAATGGAGGTGGGAATGGGATCAGAAAAGGGGGATATAAAAGAAGGGAAAGGTTAAAAAAAACCAACAACCTCCCCCCAAAAAATTATCCTACCCACAGTGGGACTTGCCATAGCTGAGATAATGCTTCATGCTGGAAAGAAGACCTGTTGCAATATTGCTTTTCAATAAGATGGGTGACCGGGGAAGCCTACGCTTGGATTCCTAGGGATTATCACCATTCACTGTATTTCCACCCTGAATAGAGTGAGACATCTGGGAGCCAAGTGTTCTAAAGATGCCCTGTTAGTAGGACAGTGCTTATGGAGAAGGTTAATCTAGATGGAAGATTACAAAGTAGCAGCCGTGTTAGTCTGTATCCGCAAAAAGAACAGGAGTACTTGTGGCACCTTAGAGACTAACAAATTTATTTCAGCATAAAATGGAAAAGAACGCCCAGTAGCGTAATCACAACAAGAGAGTTTGATAACCAAGTGCCTGGCAGGGAGGATAGAGTAGATAATATGATGAGGTCGCAAGCTATTAGCAATGTGTCCTTAAAATGGTACTGCTTAATTTCCCTGAATGAAAGTGAGGTATGAATCCATGATTGCATTGACGAATACACCAGAGATTTTGCAGCCCTCTTTTTTTTCAATCCATGACCTCTAGATCCTGGCAGTTAAAGATGACTTGTGGTTAACTTTCCATCCACCATGACGGGATACACAGTTTTGCATGCCATGTCATCTTGGCTCAGAAGACATCGTTTCCATTGGGAAGAAACAACTAGATTTGACAAGTCTGCCAGACTATATTGCTATCACTTTATTGTCTGCCTCCGCTTCCCAAAAAACACATGCAAGAAGACAAGTCCTTGTCACCCTTCTTTGACCCCATCCAGCACAAGCACTACCATTTATATGTAGGGATGTAGGTTGCTCTTAACATTACAACATTTATAAATATCCATGTCTTATGTATTTTATTTACTCTTTATTTCATGTCCAGCTTTTCCCAGCTCCACTCCAGACTCTCGCAAGGAAGATTGTTCAATCCAGGACCAATAGCACCTTAGTTGGGGTCTTCGCCATTATACTGGTTTTTCTGTCAGCCTTTGTCAACATGGTACATGGTTTTTAATCCATTTCTTTACTGTGTAGTTTTATTATTGATCTTTTCAGGCATGCATACCAGACACATAATCATTGCAATCATGTGAGTGAATGTCAGGTGTTGCTGTTGCTATATCTGAGGGCAGCCTTTCCAACCCAGAAGTGAAATGGGAGTCATCTAAATGCCTTCCTAACAGCCTGCATTGCTGACTCTGGTTTTGCTTTTGTTGCACATCCATTTTTCTGACTGTTCTATTTCTCTTGGTAGCTGTATAAACCAGGAGCGAAGTTTACCCCTATACAAAGGGCCAGGCCAAGGCCTATGTGTCACTCAGGCCCCACAAAAGCTCTATTTTGAGTGGGACTTATGTGCTGCTAGGCTTTGTGTTGGCGTCTGCACAACGTTGAATTTCACACTGACTGTAATCACTTCACAGAGATTGGAAAGGCTGCATTTTAAGTGAAACATTTGGATTTCTTTGCATCCAGACGCTGCTGCTAATTTCAGATGCAAAGAGAAAGATTGAATGTTCTTGATAGCCTACTATTTTTAATTTTTAACTTGTTAGCTAAATTTATTTTAAACATGAAACTAAATATTCTGGCTGCTACATAAATCTGGGAGATTTTTAAGAGAAAAAGGATGATCCTGTGACTAAAGCGCTGGGCAGTGTGTTGGATCTGGCCTTTATTGCTGGCACTGCTATAGTCTTCCGGTACATCAGTTATGGCTTAACTTTTAAAAGTGCTGATCTACCACAGATCTCATTGATTTCCGTGAAAATAGCAGGTCCTCAGCACCTCTTAAATCAGGCTGGAAGCCGCTCTGTGCCACTGTTTCCCCATCTGTAAGATGGAGATAAACATTGTTTGTAGAGCACTTTTAGTTTCTTGGGTAAAAGGCACTAGGGAAGTGCAAAGTATTATTATGGTGACAGTGTTAGGGCCTGATCTTTCAAGCACCTTGTAGGACTGGGCCCCAATAATGTAACTACAAAGAAGCAGGTGTAGATTAAAGGTGCTCAGCACCTTTAAGAATTGGACCCTTATTCATGGGCATTCCACTCAACAGCCTGGAGTGTCGGGCCGTTGCCATTGCTAACCATTTTGTAACAACGTTAACCAAGGCTGATACAAACTCGTTGCTTAATCGAGTGGTCATGAAATAGTACTCGGTACTCTTAGGAACAGTATTCTGCTGGTTTCTCGGCATTTTGTAGCAAGTCTGCCACAGTGGGTTTTGTCTTGGTCCAATAGCCTTTGCTGTAGAAGGCCCCCCGCTGCAGTAGTCTTAGTGATAGATTGCTAGCTATGAGAAATTATCAGCATATCCCCTTTGTCACTACATTAGTTGCTACCAAGTATAAATATAACAGTGATTTGCACAGATAAGCAAACTTATTGTGGAAACTGGGCCACTGAATATATATCTTGTGTCACCCGATGTTTAATTCTGTCGTTTTCAAGAGAATTTTTAAAGTGGATTGGTTGTTGGTTTTTCTTCTTACCCGTGCCTTTGGTTTTTGTCACACTCTTTATTTTCTCCAGTTCATGTGCAGCACTGTGGATCTTGTCAGCTGTGTGGCTACAGAATATAACATCACTCCCGACCAGGTGGACATATGCCATATCAGCAACTCATCTTTCAATTACAGCCTGGGCACCTGGCAGGGATTCTGTGGCAGTTCCCTGCCCAATTGCAACTTCCCAGAGGTATTGCTTGAAAGAATTGATTGCAGAGCTGGATTTTAAAAGGGGCTCAGTTCTGTATTTACTCATGCGTGCATAAAAGTAATTAAATCTCATGATACGGGGTGAAAACTGTTCACTACAGGAGCCATGACACAAATTTCCCTTTGCAGCCATCATTACAGCATTGACAAGGGTTAATATTCTCAAATATGGGAATTTCAAGTTAGGCACCTAAATCCATTTTAAGGCATCTAAACAAGTTTTCTGATTTTCAGAGGTGCTGTGCACTCACAGCGCTGGTTGAAGTCAGTGGGACCTGCAGGTGCTTGGTGTAACAAACCACAGCTATTACATATGCACGCTGTTGTTGGAAGGGATGAACCGGAGACCTGCACTGCTCAAGTTGCAGGAAAACTCCTTTAGCTTTGAGTTAGTAGTAGTAGGCTCTTGTAGTCACTGGATCCAACCACTAGAGGGAGACATGATCACATGCATTCATGACATAGTTTACTGACATGCTTCAATGGCTGCCAGTAGGTTAATGTTAATTAATGTAGGTGCCTAAATATGCATTTAAGAGCCTAACTGAAGGCACCTAGTTTGAAAACTTTGGCCAGGTACATTCTGAGTTTCTCTGGAGCATCCGATATGGGCCGTGACTAGAAGCAGAAAAGTTATAATGGTCCAGTAGTCAAGATTTGTAGCACTGAAACAATCTGCTTTGAACTATTGATTTTTATTCTGCTACAGCAAAAGATATAAATCTTTTTCATGCCATTGTACTTTACTGCGCCCTAAATCTCTTCCTTTTGGGCAGTTGTTCAAGATACTTCTGTGAGCGTTTAGGTCACAGCCATTAAAAAAAAATGTCTGTAGGAACTGAAAAGGAAGAAACTGTGGTGCAGGTGGTTGTGCTGTCTGGATCTGGGGGTTTATGGGAACCTTTTCAGTTTTCTGGCTGATCCTTTAGCGCCCAATTGTTCAAGGTGTTTCTGAGCCCCCATGATGTGCTGAGTGCACTATCTCCCCTTGGAGCAGTTGGGGCATAATTCTGATGCCATTAAAGCCAATGGGAATTTTGCCATTATCTAACCTATGGGAGGCGGGGTTATACCACACTCATTACTGTAATTTGCAACATTTCAGAATCTATGTTATGCCTTGTCTAAACTTAGGGTGGCATGGAGAGTACCGGCGCTAGGAGCCGCAGTGAAAGCAGGCTGTGTCCACACTTGTAACTGCAGTACGTAGCTACACATGGCAGGGAAAGGCTGCAGCAGAAAGGGAGATGGCGGGGGAAGGCTCCGGCAGCTCCCCACTGGCATTGCAGGAATCTTTCCCTGCTGCTGGAACCTTTCACTGCATTGGAGAAAGGCTCCAGCAGCAGAGAGGCAGTGGGACACTATGCTGCTAATAATAGCAATGCAGATGTGGAAGGCACTGCTTGAGCACGTAGAGGGCTGTGCAGGGTCAATACCGTCGCGTCATGTCTGTGGGTATAATAGACCAGGGCAGGTTCTGCTTCTCCTGGCGCTGCTGCTGGCCACCCACTTGCAGGTTTGACAGGGGAACTTTTTGCTTTATTATGCCCCATGCAGGTCCTGGGGCCACTGAGGAGGCAGTATGTGCTATTCAGCTTCGTGGGTTCATCAGTAATCTCCCTGGACTCCAGAGAAATTACCGATGAATCCAGGAAGCTGAGTTGCAGATACCGCCTCCTCAGCCACCCCGGAACCTGCATGGGATATATCAAAAGCTCAGGTTCTTCTTCATAGAATCATAGAAGATTAGGGTTGGAAGAGACTTCAGGAGGTCATCTAGTCCAATCCCCTGATCAAAGCAGGGCCAACGCCAACTAAATCATCCTAGCCAGGGCTTTAACAAGCCAGGCCTTAGAGGTTTTTAAGGATGGAGATTCCACCACCTCTCTAGGTAACCCATTCCAGTGATTCACCACCCTTCTCGTGAAATAGTGTTTCCTAATATCCAACGTAGACCTCCCCCACTGCAACTTGAGACCATTGCTCCTTGTTCTGTGATCTGCCACCACTGAGAACAGCCGAGCTCCATCCTCTTTGGAACCCCCCTTCAGGTAGTTGAAGGCTGCTATCAAATCCCCCATCACTCTTCTCTTCTGCAGACTAAACAACCTCAGTTCCCTCAGCCTCTCCTCGTAAGTCATGTGCCTCAGCCCCCTAATCATTTTTGTTGCCCTCCGCTGGACTCTCTCCAATTTGTCCACATCCCTTCTGTAGAGAGGGGACCAAAACTGGACACAATACTCCAGGTGTGGCCTCACCAGTGCCGAATCGAGGGGAATAATCACTTCCCTCAATCTGCTGGCAGTGCTCCTACTAATGCAGCCCAGTATGCCATTAGCCTTCTTGGCAACAAGGGCACATTGCTGACTCATATCCAGCTTCTCGTCCACTGTAATCCCCAGGTCCTTTTCTGCAGTACTGCTGCTTAGTCTGTTGGTCCCCAGCCTGTAGCGGTGCCTGGGATTCTTCCGTCCTAAGGGCAGGACTCTTCGGGAAGAGATACTGTGGCTTTTCCTGGACAGCTTAGGGTCTGGGGAGGGGAGGCGTGGCTGCGGCTGGCCTGGGGCTCCTCCGGGCAGGTGGTGATGGGGGGCTCGGGGTTCCTCCAGGCAAGTGTGGGGGGCTCAGGGCTCCTCCGGGCAGGCGGAGGGCGCTCAGTGCTTCATTCAACCTGGGGCTCCGGCCGAGGGGTAGGGTGCTCGGGGCTCTGGCCCAGGAGCAAGGAGTGTGGGTGGAAGAGGCAGAGCCAGGGGCTAGCCTCCCCAAAGGGGGGCTCCTCTCGCCATCCATGTGTAGCATTCAGGTGTGTCGGGTGTCACGCTGTCTGGAATGGCTCACAACCATGAGTGCCGACCTCAGAGCAGACTGTCAAGAAGCAGGGCAGAGACTCCAAACTGATTGTATGTTCTGTAATTAGATTTCACCAACCTAGTAGCAAGTGTGAACTCCTGAAGCACTATACCAGTCTTACCAGGGAGTCACAAACAGTCCCCTTGGGCATTCCAGTTTCGTTTGCCACCCAGGCAAGCTGAGTTTAGTGATAGATGGTGACTTTACCAAAAATCACAACAATATTTAGATTTCTCTCAGTCCCAAAGGACCAGTCACTTACCCCAGATCAATTTTCTCCTTAGATCTTACACCAAAGACAACACTTGTAGCCAGTCCTATAGTAAACTATCAGGATTTATTAACTAAGACAAATGAGAGACTTATTACAAGGTTAAAGCAGGCAACATATATACACAACTGAGTTACAGTCTATGGTTCCAAAAGGTGACAGAGTTGTAGAAATCTATAAGAGTTTAATGTCTTTTAGAGCTAATCCAGTTTCATCCTTGGATCTCTGCTTCTATTTCATAGCTCCAGCCCTGCGAGAGTCCAAACAGCAAAAAAAAAGAAAAAAATTCCTCTCAGATATTTTTCTTTTCTTTTTCCAGAATTGAGGCTGATGGGATGAGCCCTTTTGCATGTAGTTTCTTCATAGGTGTCCAGGGGCAATTAACAAAGTTTGTATTGTGATGTCCCACAATGGCTCATTTAGTTTTGATAGGCCTTTTTGATGGGCAGCAGACATCCCTTCTGACTGAGTTCACAGTTTCAGAGCAAACATTTTTTACAGTTACAAAGCAAAAACTTAAATATTACCTGACGGCAGGTGATAAAGAAATAAATGAAATTAATGCATGCAGCAACTCACAAACATTTCATAAAGACTAAACACATTGTCATAAGTCCAATACCCATCTTAACTATACTGCCACACAGGTGAAACAGACTGGTTTCCAGCAATGAATTTGTCAGTGCTTGGCTGAGGCCTAAAGCCTTTCAAAGAGCTGGCACCTGGTCTGCCGGCGTCACATAGGGCCCTCTACTCTGTTCCCCTAAGCCGTGCCTCACCATCTACACTGCTGCTTATACCCATGTTAGCTAGGTGTGCAGTGTGTGTACTCTACAACCCGCAGACATACCTACAGTGTGGTCTGTGTAGAGCGCGGGGAGCAGAATTAGGTATAATGGGAACTGAGGATACTCCGCATCTATCTGGACGTGGCAGATGGGGGTGGAGTGGGAGCAGGGCTGGTGCATCCACTTTGCAGGCCGAGGATGCTACTGCAGCCTTGAAGCTGAGCCGTGCTGCTCCATGGCTGGATGAGGAAAGATTCCATCCCCTCCACTCTGCTTGGCACGTTGAGTCAAGGGCAGAATCTGGCCTTAGAACATTAGGCATTTTACTGTAATATTCATGGGATGGTGCCTTCTGCTACCTCCTGGACACACACACACCTTGGCCTTCAGTCTAAGTGTTCATTTAGCTCAGGGGTAGGGTTACTACTCCCTCTATATGGTCTGTTATGTCTCTTAGTTTCGGTTTGCTTTGTCCTACTGAGTTTGATCTCTCTCCTGTTTTCTTTTTTTGTCTTTACACAGTATTTTACCTACAGTGTCTTACTGAGTCTCCTGGCCTGCTCTGTGTTCCTTCAGATCAGCTGCATCGGGAAACTGATCCTAATGTTGATCATCGAATTCATATACGTTCTCATTGTGGAGGTGCCAGGGGTGAACCTCTTTGACAATGCAGATCTTCTGGTTGCAGCCAACACTGTGTAAGTGGGTTTCACTTTCAAAATGTCTTCCTCCATCATATTGACTCCCAATGATGCCTCCATATCACTAGGAAGACTGGGTTTCTGAGTCTTCAGTGCATAAACTATGGAACTGCAGTACTGACGTGTAAGTCACAACAAATTAAGGCTCCCTCACTGTTGCTATCTCCATGCCATCTCACAGGTCTCTACACCTTAGAAATCTTCTTCTGAAGATTAAACCTGTTTCTCAGGTTCTTGGTAATGATGAAATATTACTGGCAAAACGTAATTGGAATGAGTATGAAGGCTGTTAGCTGTTCTGATTGCTAGCATAAGACTCTTCAACACGATCAAGACAGAAATGGCTACTTCAAAAATAAAAATAACAACAGAGTCTGAATGGCTCAGAGAGTTGGGGCTCATCAAATGAACAGTTAGCGCACCGCAGGCCGGGCTGTAACGCTACCTCGCATTACTGCACTGCATACAACTGTCCCTGTGAAACTTGGTACTGTGCACTAGGAGTTTCAGTGGTCTTAGAGATACCCAGCTTTGAAATGAGAGTAGGTCACTAGGGAACTTTTAGTGTGGGATAGAAGAGTACAAGTGGACCATTAGTGCTTGGCAGGCTAGTATGAGGTAGATTTACACCCCAGCCTACCATGCACTAACTATTCCACTAGGCAAGCCCTTGGTAATGAAATACTGGGGTGCTGGATTTCACCTCTGGGTTGTTGCTTCAAATCCAGCCCAGGTTAGTAGGGACTCAAAATTGCTATAATCTGATGTCTGCCTTGTGATCTCCGCCCTGTTCCTAATGTCCACATCTCAAAAGCCAACACCAACAGCGACGTTAACTCTCAATTTCTGCAAATAGGCCAAGGACTAAGTGGGACTGAAAGCTATCCTTTTATCTATACAGGTGCATTGGTCCCTCCAGGTCAGGGCTTTGAAGCACAGTGTGAGGGAAGCTTGCACTAATGCTGCTGAACAAACCTCCTTCCACTGATCATGGAATCTCCTCAAGATGTTGAGAGAAGAGAGAGGGGTGGGCACGTGCACAGACAACACACAGAGAGGCGCACACACACATACACTTTCCTCCTGAGTTGCCCACCACATATTCCATTGTTTTCTTACATGTTCATCTGTCCTAATTTCACCACATTTGAGATGGAGACAACTACCCCACATGGGTGGTTTCATGTCTTTTCTGAGGTCCATTGGTTCTTTCGAGCTGGGCATGTTCAATTCTCATAACACTCAAAACCACTTTTACTAGCATTATTATGTGTCCAATAATAATTTATGATTTTATGGGTTCTCCTTTAAATTTTCAATGGAATCATTGCAAATAGTTTGTTAGCATAAGCAAACAAAATCGTGTAGGAAGCCAAGTGGCACTCGTATCGCTTCTTTGCCATGTTCATTGTCAGTAGTTTTGATGCAATTAATCTCTTTTGGGGTTGTTTTTTCCTTCTTTTAGGAGAAAATTTATCCCTAAATAGCTTTGCCTGTTTGAAGAAATAACATAAAAACATAATTAGGAGGAAAAAAAGCATTTTATACCCCAAAAAGGCATCACATTCTTGGTAAACCTAGCGTTCTGCAAGATTACAGCACTTAAAAGTGTAATTTACATCACTCCGCAATCAAAATGTCAGTAATAATGTGGAGGAAATCAGCAGTTTTTCCCAGAAAGAAATTTCTGTGCTGCTGTATTCTCATTAAATGATTTTTGTTTCCACTAAAAGCTCCATTAGCAGCTAACACCCCAAAGCATAGCAATCCGTTTGTGTCTTATGGGAGATGGGTAGTCAGTGTACAATACCCAATCTAGAGATGTACCACCCTGTCCAGCTGACATAAAAAACACTGCCTCATGATACTTTAATTGGACTCCTGTTGTAGTTATATAATTACTGTCTATTCTGCAGGTTTTAGAGTACATTCACTAATTAGGAACTATACAGATGTCACTTTGTACTTCTGAGTACAAACCATCCCTCCATGCAAGCAACTGAAGACTGATAGTAATGCACTGGGAATTACTAGACATGACTACCATGACACACCGGCATCATGACACTTGAATTATAACTAGAAGAGCAAAGCTAGTGTTATGTAAGACTCATCTGCCATGCGGGAGATAAAATTAACTTCATAGACTCATAGCTTTTAAGGCCAAAGGGCATCGCTATGATCATCCAGTCTGACTTCCTGCATAACATAGGCCAGAAAACTTCAGCCAGTAATTTCTGCATCAAGCCCACAGTTTTCTGCTTGAGCTATAAGCATATCTTTTAGAACGACATCCAGTCTTGAGATGGAGTGTACATCATGTTCCTGGGTAAGTTGCACCAATGGTTGATTCTCCTCAATTTTGAAATTTTCATTTTAGGTTTATTCTGGATTTGTCTAGCTTCAGCTTCGACCCATTGGATTTTGCTATGCCTTTTTCTCTAGACTAAAGATCCATCTACTATCAGAAATCTCTTCTCCATGTAGGTACTTGTAGACATGATCAAGTTATCTCTTAACCTCCTCTTGGATAAACTAGATTAAGCTTCTTCAGCCTTTCATTATAAGATTTTGAACTGTACTTGTAGCTCTTTGCAGAACCCTTTCCATTTATCAACATATTTTTTGAAGTATGGACGCCAGAACTGGATGCAGTATTCCAGTAATGGTTTCGCTAATGCCATCCGCAGAAGGTAATACCACCTCCATACTCCCACTTGTTATTCCTCTGTTTATTCATGCAAGCATTGCATTTGTTGACTAGCTACAGCATTGCACTGGAAGCTCATGTTCAGCTGATTATATGGCATAATCCCTCAGTCCTTCTCAGAGTCCCTACCTACCAGGATTCAGTCCCCCATCTTGTAAATGTGAACGGTGTTTTTTGTTCTTAGATGTACGACCTCACATTTTGCTCTGTTTAAAATGCATATTCAGGGCTGGTTCTAGGGCTGGCTGAAAAGGGTGGGTGTCCTGGGCACCAACTTCCAGGGGCCACTTGACTTTTTTTTCCCCTCCTCCGCTGATTGAGTGGCCATTATTTTGTTTTCTCTGCCGCTTTGGGAGAGGGGGTCGCTGAAATTGTTTGGTTGGCAAAATGCCTAGGGCTGCTCCTACGCATGTTGCCCAAAGAAGTGTATTTTATCAAGCAATCCTGCTTGGTCTGTATTACCTACTTGTTCCCATGATTAATTACCACTCAACAATTTTTGTGTTATCCGAATACTTCACTAGCAATGACTTAATGTTTTCTGCAAATCATTGCTAAAAACTATTGAATAGCATGGGGCCAGGAACAGTTCCTGTGAAAATCACTAGAAACATCCCCTCCTTCTTCCAGTAGGAGTAGTGGAGGCAAACAACCAAACTAGTTTTCAGATGGAGTTTGATATGTTTATTAACAGGATTACTTGATAGTGTTTTCTGTGCTAGCAGAGGACTGGACTCCATGACCCAGGAGGTCCCTTCCAGTCCTATGACTTATATTCCTGTGGGTAATGATTCCCCATTTACAATTATTTTTTGTGATCTGTCAGTTAACCACTTTTTAATCCATCTAATATGGGTAACATTGATTTGGTATAGTTCTTACTCTTTTATCAGAATGTTATGTCCAAAATCACCTTTACAACCCAAACTTTGTAATCGCATCAAGCATCAAGTTTGTTTGATATGGCCTATGTTCCATCAAATCATGTCAACTGCCTTTAATTAAACTACCATCTTTTAATTCTTTACCAGTTGCATCCCATATTAGCCTTTCCATGATTTTGCTTGAGATTGATGTCAGACTAACCAGTCTAGTTACCCAGGTCATCCCATTTACTTGTTTTAAATGGTGGCACAACATTAGCTTTTTTCCATTCCTCTGGAACTCCCCCAGTTTTCCCAGACTTGTTTGTGATGGTTTCTCGGTGTGTCCAGGATTGTGAGTCACCTGATTATCCCTCTTCCTCAGCCAGAGAGAGACTTGCTGGTGCTCAACTGGGTGTCATCTCCCTGACATTCTCAGTCTGTTGGCCACTCAAAGAGTCTCCTCAGGGCTCTGCCAACCCTTACTTTGCCTTGCACGTTAACACTTGGTGTACTTCAGTCCCTGAGCTCCTCTTCTGAAGTGTCCCCCAGTAGTGTCCAGCCCATGGCACTTGGACACTCACAGTAACTATTCCCAAGGGAACAGTATACACACAGCTTCACTGATCAGGTCCCCAGCTTAGGATCAGGTCCTTTATAACACCACAGCATGGAGATATAGTGAAACAATCATAAGTTTATCATCAAAGATTAAGATTTAAGAGATGCTGAGTAAGGTTAATGGAAACAGGAATGGTTACATATGAAATAAAAAGTATAACCCACTTCTTGGAGTCTAAACTTAACTTTAACGGCTAAAATCCTTGTCTAAAGCTCACCTAAACCTTTCTCCCAGCATCATCAACCCACATGGCTGGATCCACTGTTCATGGGTGCAAAAGCCCTGTCCTTTGTGCGCCCTCTGTGATGGATCAAGATGTGTCCTTTTGCCTTCCCCTTATATCCCCCCAAAGTCAGTGATTTTGTCCCCAGAGTCAATAAAACCCTCTAGGGGCTGGTCTACACTGAAAACGTACATAGGTGTAGCGATATCTCTCAGGGCTGTGAAAAATCAACACCCCTGAGAGATGAAGCTATGATACCAACCAAACCTCCGGTGTAGACATGTTGACAGACAGATTCTTCCGTTTACCTAGCTACTTGCCTCTTGGGGAGGTGGATTAACTACAGCGATGGGAGAACCTGTCTACACTGATGCGCCAGTGGAGTGGTTTAAGTGGTGACAAAGCCTGTTTTTCTCTGGTGCCTGTTGAATTCATGCTGACTTCACATGTCTCTGTTCTTTATTAGCATTCAGTTCTAACCAGTGATGGGAGGCCCGTTGTGAAACAATATAAGGCTTTATTTACATGTAAATTAGCTAGCTGTACAAATACCCCTGTGCTGAGAGAGAACCTGTCCCTGCTGGTGACTCAGACCTTTGATACAGATGCTCAGGATATATTTTCTGTACATAACTTTTTAAATATCATCAGTACATACATTTCACATTGATATTAATGCCCAGCATGACACCAGCTTTCATTTGATACCTAACAAGACACTATGTGGGAATAATTACCGCAAAAGCAGCATTAGGTGTAGTGAGTTTGTCAGGCCTATTAGCAGTTGTTGACACAGAGCAGTGAGTCCTTGGCCAGCAGGCACCAATGGGCCTCTGTGTCACATTGTTACAAACTAACAGTAATGACTGAGCGAGCTTGGCCGAATCTTTCAATACTTACTGAATGCCTGTGTTCCTGAGAACCCCAGCCCTCAGGCCGACCAAGCACTTGCATGTATATGTTGCACCCATCTAATACATGCCTCCTGGCTGAATCTTTTGTCAAGGGACATTCCTGAAATCTCAAGCTCAGGTTAGGAAGTCTCCCCGTTTGGTCAACTCCCCCACACACCCCACTTAACTCGTCCTACTTTGCTAGGCCAGTCCTCTATTAGTGTGAGGTGCCTAAGTCGCCTTATGTCTATGATGTGAATTAGAACAGCTGAAGAGCTACTGTCACTTACACCCGCAGCAGGTATTGCAGGATCTGGGAGTCACACAACGAGCACCCTGATGGCCTCTTCTGTCTCTCACCACACCTATCCTGTGCCAGGTAGAGCCTCGCCACAGGGGAGAATCTACCCCCATATACATCCACTGCCCTCAGATGGGAAATACACTAACCTGGTTGGATAGTACATTTTTCTGCAAAAAGAACAGGAGTACTTGTGGCACCTTAGAGACTAACAAATTTGTTAGTCTCTAAGTGCCACAAGTACTCCTGTTCTTTTGTCGGCTACAGACTAACAACGGCTGCTACTCTG